GGGGGGGGGGGGGGGGGGTGCAGACATACCAGGTGAGCCCTCCAGGCGTCGCAGTGTTTGCGAATGGCCTGCAGGTCGGCGGCCACTCCCTCGTCGCGGGCCTGCAGCTCGTCCAGGTTGACCAGCAGCAGAAACAACCACCGACATACGTGCAGCTGTCGCGCCGCAGTGCCCTGGTCCACACTGATGGCCGCTGCCGTCGTCTTGGACATCACCTCGGCCAACACGTCTACCATCTTGCAGGTCTCCACCTGAATGAACACTGAATGTGTGTGCCGTGTGTCGTGTCGGTGGCCCACTCACTCACCGAGTCCATTTGCCGCAATGTGTCGACGGAAGGGCTCAGTGAGGGATAGGCAGCCATCCACTCGTCACGGCTCCTCGCCACACCAGACGGCTCGCACTCGCGAGTGCCGTGCACTTGCTGCACACATAAATGAATGACACCCACCCATCCAATCGCATAAGGCTGACAACACACACATGAGATCTAGATCTAGGTGCTCTCACCAGCCGCAGATTCTTGAAGTAGAAGACCACATCGTTTACCCAAGTGGCCGACATTTCTGCAGCTGTGCCGCTGGTGGTGGTGGTGGTGTCAGCCCCTCCCTGGTCGCCTCGCACATGCCGCAGCGCACCCGAAAGCCCCGACGGCGCGCCCTCCCTACTCTCTGACACAACAATGTCACCATCGGGCGCTTGCTGTGTGGTGGGCTCTGCTGCCGTGCCGTTGGGTTGTGGGCGGGGAAAGGGAGGGCGATGGGCAGCCGGCTGTGCGCCTGTGTAGGTGATGACCTTCGGGATCTGCCGTGCCTGCCACCTGTAGCAACACATGCAACGAAGAGGGAAGCGCCACATCAGTGGGTCGGAGTGCGAGCAGTATCTTTACCTGACGGCTCTGAGGTATTCTTCGGCCGTCATGTCGTCGGTGATGCTGTCCATCTGCGGCGGAGGGCATCCATCTTGGCCCTCGGCGACGGGCAGCGCCTGCCGTGGCCTCAGCTCGTCATAGGCATCCTCATCACTGTCGGCATCATTCTCGATGGGCTCATCCGGCCTGGCCGACACATTCTCCCGGCTGCCTTCGTCCAGATCACTCATCGCATCGCTTTCCTTCTTCGCGCGAGCTTCAAGTTGAAGCCAAAGGGACTCTTCCCCAGGAGGCTTGGAATTCATCGCGGGCCTGCCTCGATGAGTCGCTTCTCAGCCGTATCCACCTTCACAAAGATCTGCCTCTTCATCTCGTTTTCGGAGGGAAGGAATGGGTCTGCCGGAGTGTTGCTGAGGCGCTCAGGCCCTGTTCACGACGACATGGCAGCCTTTATCCCTGCAGAGCGCTCCTTATTGCCTTCACTTCTTTGTCGAAGGCCGGCAGTGCAAAGGAGAGGACGGCGTCAGGTGGTAGTAGGCTGCGAGGCTGCTCGGGGCGATAGAGGGCATCCATCAGGACAACAACAGCACGACAGCCATGAAGATCTGTCAAGGCGGCAGCACCAACGACTCATCGCCGGTGCTCTGTCAGCTACCCTCTTGCCCCTTTCGGCCTCCCCCGCCCCCTGTGCCGCCCGTGACAGCAACGCTCCCCCCTCCCCCTCCCGCCCTCCGTTCACACGCATCGAGATCGAGGCACCCTCGGCTGGCCCGCTGGGCATTGAGCTTGAAGAGACGGCCGAGGGCATCAAAGTCAAGCAGCTGGTTGCGGGCAGCGAGGCCGCCAACAACCCCGACATCAGGCCAGGCCTGCTGCTGGAATCGGTCAACGGTCAGTCGGTGCAGGGCTTGAGGCTCAGTGACGTCAAATCGCTGATACGGATGCGGCGGGAGATGGGCGAGAAGGAGGGAGAGGGCACACTGAGGCTGGCTTTCCGCGGCGAAGGGGGTGGGAGGGGCGAGAGGGATGCGGTCAGCCAGGGGGTGGCGGACACTATCGACAAGGCCAAGAGAGAGGGACAGGTCATTATCGACAGGAGGAAAATACCTGAGGCAAGCAACACAGCACCGACTGGCAGAGGTGATTCTCAACCACATGTCTGTCTGTTTGTCTGTCAACAGGTGTGCAGCTTGAAGGCGAAGCGGGGCGACCTGCTGGAGCTGCGATACGTGGGACGTCTTGAGGACGGCAAACTGATCGACAGCAGCCGACTGGACGGCAGGTCGGTGCCGGGAAAGGGGGCGGGGTCGTCCATCTATCTGCTGCTGGGCGACAAGCCGCCCCGCAAACTCATCCGCAAGTTCCAAAGTGGCCTTTACTCTATGTGTGAGGGCGAGAAGCGGAGGATCACCATCCCGCCCTCAGCCGCATTCGGCAGTGAGGGACTCCCAGAGAAAGGTAAGCAAGCAATAGAGCAGCTCATGATTGTCTTGTGTATGTGTCTTTGTCGGTCCATCCATCCATCCATGATGCAATCAGCGATTCCCCCCGATGCGACGTTGATATACGACGTTGAGCTGGTCAAGATCACGCCCATGGCAGGGGTGACATGACGTCATGGACAGTGACAACAAGGGGCAGTGGTCCGACTGGCTCGCCGGTCGGTGCATGGGATGGATGCAATCAGACTGACTGCCCGATTTATGTGTCTAAGAGTGAGACATTCTCGTGAATGATCAAGACGCCGAGAAGTAAACCATGATTTTGAGGCAGGCTTGATCGTCAGTCGTGTTACAGCAGACGGGCAGGCAGGCAGGCAGGCAGGCGGGTCTCAACCGGTATCTGTCAGTGAGCTGTCCAGCACGTGGTCAGCCGCACCATCCCAGCCAGCCATATGCCTGCTAGCCGGACAGCTTCCCAAGGGACCGGGCTGCGTGTTTGTATCGGCAGTAGCGCATCGTCTTTTTTGTCGCGCTGTCTTTCATTGTGGGTAGCAAAGTGCCCTGGCACTCCTTTTTCGTCTTTGCTTCGTCGATGCACACGCCGACGTACTTGAAAAGCGCGCCTCTCGGGTGGGCCGGGCTGTCCTCTTTGCGGTCGACCATGCAGACCTCCTTGGTGGGCGACGGGCAATCCTGGAATTTCCTTTTTGCCCCATTCAGAACGGCCAGCCAGCACTCCTCTGCACACGCGAGCATGTGCAAGGGTGAATCATGACGTCTGCCTGTCTTTTGTGCTACATGTGTCTGGCGTACCTTCGATCCCATCGGCTGTTTGCATAATCGAGTGATGAGCAGAGGAGATCAGGTGCTCGCCTGCAGGCACACCACACGACACCGACGGAAGACAGAAGGACGTTGCGCTATGAGTTAACGTATTCCCGCAAGACAGGAGGACTCAGTCTGCTGTTTCCCAGCGTCACTGAGGGCAAGCACAAACGTGTATGTCTCACCATCTGTCTTTTGAGGGATGCCGTCTTGTCGTTTCCTCTCGTGAAGGCGTTTCAGGCGGGTCAAGGATTCGGCGCTGCCCGCACACACAGCCCGCTCAGCAACCAGACAAGAGATGAGCACAAGAAGAAGCCGCATCGCCACCATCGTGACTGCACACACGCACAGATGCATCCAATCTGTCTTTCCCTTACAGGACGTCACAATCACCTTCGGTGCGAAGGGTGCTCGGCTCTCAGCAGGCTGTCGCTCGGAAATCGAAGACAGTGGACCCCCAAGGACCCCCACGGAGCCCCCTTCTGCATGCTCCGAACTCGACCGCCGAGATGATGATTCATCCGTCGATACGCAAGGCAGCTGCATGTGGCCATACATGGTCCAACGGCCCCAGGGGAAGCACCACAGATTCCTGAGGGACTCGTTTCCCATCGCGATCCATTTGCGAGCTTAGAGTGGGAGATCTCCAAAGAGAAGAAAACGGAGTTGGGGAGTTCTGTAGACGCACCACGAACCGCTGTCCAGACAAGCGAAGAAGCTAGCAACCAAAGTGATGATCCACCCAACCCTGTCCCCGCTGAAGGGTCGGGACATTGGCGTCCCTCGCGGCTGTGGACACGTCTTCACCTTCACCGCCGACATCTATTCGGCACTTGCTGTCTTTTTCACCGTTCTGGTAAGGCTGAACCGACACGTACTCGGACACACAAGATCTCCTCGTGCACACGACGGGATGGCTGGTTCATTCAGGTGACGTTGGATTCCATCTTCTACTCGGTGCTGTCGGCGGTCATTACATACCTCTACTACCTGGAGTATGAGAGGAACGAGAGCTCATGGTCGGCAAACATCTCGTGGACGTTCGTGTCGTTCGCCGTGGTCTTCCCCCTGACCACCAGCATCGGCGAAGCCTTCAAGCGCCGTGAGGAGGCCCTCGCCCACATCGCCACCATGAAAGCGCTGATCTCTCACATATTCCTCGGTAAAAAGGCAGGCAGGCTCCATCTGCTGCTGATGGAAAAGTCTACACACATGTGTGTGTGTGTGTGAATGGCAGCGCATCGCGAGTGGAATTGGTATGAGAACAAGAATGGACGGTCTAAGATCCCTCCAGGCCATGCAGACGGCGTGCGGCAGGTCTTCTATGACTTCATCCTCGGTGTACACGATTACCTCCGGACGCCTCTTATCGGAAGTCAGGGAGCCGGAAACGGCACAGCACAACACAGGACAATGAGTGCATCTTCTCACTTGTTTTGTGTGTGTGTGTGTGTGTGTAGAGGCCAAACATACGTTCACGTGGTGCGGTGCGCGGATGAAGGTGCGTGTGGTGGAGGAGAGGCGGACTCTGCTGGTGCAGCTGCTGTGCCACATCAAAGACCTCTCCCTGGCCGTGGAAGTACTCAAAAGGGAGGGGCTCCCTGGCAACGAGGCGGCACGGTGAGGAGGGAAGGAAGGACGGAAGGGTGTTTTGGAGGGCATATAAACATACGACTGACTGCGATGATGTGTTCTCCCCGGGCCGCTTTCTTGCATCGTGCTGTCTGTCTGGTTTGTGTTGGGGTGTACACGCACACTTCCGATCGGCTGTGGTAGCCTCAATCAGGTGGATATATCGATGGGTGGGGTGGCTGGCTGGCACAGTCCCGTGCATGGCGGGTGCATTGATGCATCGCTCTCCCTTGTGTGGTGGTGTGTTTCAGTACCACTGGTTGCTCCATCAAGCCTTCGAGAAGCTGAGGAAGATAAAGGAGTACAGGACGCCTCAGGTGAGTCGGCTTGCGGACAGATAAACGGCCAGCCATCCTGCCCGTCAGTCATCTCTTCGTTTCTGTCTGTCTGCCACAGGCCCTCAGGTCGTTTGTGCGTGTGGCTTTCATCTTTGTGCCGTGCTTCTACGGCCCTTATTATGTGTGGGTTGGCACCAGCGGAGGGGTACGCATCGCAGCCACATGCTCACACTCATTCATATGCACACACCTGTCTGGTTGAACGTATCTGTCTGGATGACTGACTACTGAACAATCAGGGTGAGGGCACCAATCTCCCCTTTGCCATCGCCCTGTCTGTGCTGACCACTCTCGTCATGGTTGGACTGTTCAACGTCGAGCAGGCCCTCGAGGATCCCTTCGACTGCCGGCTCGGTTTCGACAACGTCAGGCTTCAGGATGAGCTCAACGAAATCCTCGACACCCTCGACTTCCTGGTCAGTCACCCATGAGTACATGTAATCACCCTGTTGTGTGTGAGTGTTGTGGGGCCATCTGTCGTCTTGTCCATGCGTGCGATCAGGACGACACGCGCATTCTGCCATGGGCGTTCCCGTCCTTCCCCGTGCAGCACCGCACCGCATCCCGACACGACATCAGAGGGAATGACGACGACAGGCCCCACCAGCTCGCGGACAATGGCCACCGGCCGCCGCGCATTGCCGACAGCGACAGGAGCGTCGATCGTATGACCACTGCGCCGGCCATCCCCACGCCCCCCAGCTCAGCGTCCTTCGCAGAGGTGTTGGATCACATCAAGCGAATGGACACCTTGACCGCCTTCCCCGCGCCAAAGGGAAGACGCATACATGACCAGGTCAGCGACAAACGAACCCAGCGGCTCCCTTTCACCCTTGTCTCTCTCTCTCTCTCCCTCTCTCTCTTGTGTTGTCCGTGTCTGTAGGTGCTGCGTACGCTACGCGAAGGCGACACCCCTCCGTCCCAGCAGCAGCTGCTTGGCGGCCACAGCGACCAGTTAGTCTACACACACCCGCCCTCAGAGCCGCCACCAGCCAGCGAGCGAGAAAATGCCTTTCGCCATGCACTGTCGGGGGGCGACCTGCAGAGCCAGGCAGCAGACAACACCCCAGCGATGAGCGGCACGCAGAGGAACGGCCAGCGGCTGCTCAACACATGACCGAGTGGGACTGACTGATGGGGCCGAGCTGGGACGGGAGGGGCAGCCCATAGTGCTCGGTCTTTTCTAGTGAGAGGGAGCGTCCCTTGTGAAAATGCAGAGGATGCTGCACCTGCAGAGTGAGTGAGTGAGTGGGTGGACAACGGCCAGCCAGGAGAGACGAAATGCGGGACCATGCGTGGGTGGGTGCGTATATGCAATCAACTGATTGAAGGATACGACGTGCACCCCTGACAGAGTGCCGACAGGGCCACTCACTCACTAGCTAGGCAAACAGCTGTAGAGGTCGAGAGAGAGAGATAAACAGAGAGTATCAAACAGACACACGCAGGTCTCTCTTGCGGCTGGGTTGCTGCAGATCACTAAACAAGTCAGTAGAGAAAGGCTGAAACGCCGACTACCTACCTCTCATCCAGCTGCAACGCGCGAACCAATGTATTCGTCAGCTAACCCACCACACAGCCACTCTCACCCGTCGGCTGCTTCGGCTCGTCTGCCCCCTGTGAGGCGGGCATGACGGTCTTGAGGCGTTCGTCCTGTGGGTGGCGCTGCGCATACTCTGGCAGGGCGGCCATCATGGCGTCTGCCCACAGGTGCCAGTTGACCGCAGTCGGTGGCCGATACTGCGCCTTGAGATACTGGCAGTACTCGATGAAGCTCATGTCTTTTGACTCGTTCGGAGCGAACATGCCGATACCTGTTGGCACATACTCCCACAGACAGACAGACAGACAGGCAGCAAGACGACAGAGGGAGTGAATAAGCAGGCAGGCAGGCAGGCACGTTTGCCATAGTTTACCGTAGGGAAACACGGTGGGAAAGGAGCACCCCTCGAAGTCGTTGAAGTTGTCCAACTTCGACCTGAATCAGGCAGGCAGACAGGGAGGCGTCCTGCCCGCGTGGGTGCCTGGGTGCCTGCCTCCATGTTATGTGTCTAAGTCGCCCACCGGTGTGTAGCCCTGGTTCATGAGCCTGAGCGTCTCGTCGTGCATGTACTTCAAGACGTCGGCCTGCTTGGTCACCAAAACATGCACACAGATTGCGGGAGCAGTACAGGTGCTGATGAGGTTGCGTGATTTGAGTGTGTCCCTTGATGCAGGTATCAATTCTCATCAGTCAGCATCTCATCAGTCAGACACATGTGGCAGTACTACTATGCTGTACAGCTATGTGGCGCTGTCCAGCATCCTTTGGGCCGCTGTCAACTCCTGCAACACACGCACCCACATGCACCAAACCGTGTGTCTGGTTGACCCGACCCGCCCCATCTACCTCTTCGAGTGCTTCCTTAGTGCCGCTCGCGTCGTCAGATGAGGCCTCGAGTTCCCGCTGCTGCTTCTGGATGGCCTCGACGAGCATCTCTGCCAGCTCTCGCTCGCTCTTCTTGATCATGTCGCTGTAACACGGGCGGCCCTCACGCGGACGCACATCGATGAACCGACCACTCGGGTCCCGGAAACAACCTGCACGGTGGCCACACACAACACAGCACGCACCACAAACCCCGCCATACACACCATTGCGTGTCTGCCCGTACCCACTCACCGGTGTAGTGTTTGATTTCGTAGACTTTGGTGTATCCCTCCTCGCAGTCCTCTGCGTTCTCCCACTCGTCGACCTCCACGCGACGCAGCTTCAGCTTCCGTAGAGCGCCGTCGTAGTCGAAATCCTCGGGCGGCCAGTCGGGCGTCATATACCACCACCTATACCTCACACCAGAGGCGCGTTGTGCCCGCCACACAATGTCTCCATCTCTGGGAAGTGCTGCAGAGCCGCGCGAAGGCTCAGAGACCACTGCCGGGAGTTGCGAGTCATCGCACCGCTGAACACACACACACACGCGCGAGCACACACACACACACACACAGACGATATCTGGACAGATAAATCCGCACCGCCACATCTTGGTACTCGGCAAATGTCATCGTCGCCGGGAAGAGGCCACGATGGAATGACTCTCTGTTGATGCGATCGCTCACCTGAGGCCACTCAGCCGCCGTCACCGCCTACAGGACACACACAACACACACACAGCCCAAAGAGTGCCGCACATCCAGTTGACTGAGTCTGTTGTGTGTCACCTTGGTGTTGTTGAGGCTGGGTGCGAGGGTGCACTGCTCGAGTCCGATGAAGAGGTGCTCGATGGTCTCCATCGAATGCGGCAGTCTCGTGGCCTTCTCGAACTTGGGCAGAGCGACCGCCACGTATTACACACCGCCCTTGCTGCCGCCAGGGACGGCGACAACCGCGACGGCATAGGGGTTGCGGGACACCAGCAGGCTCTCTGCCAAGCTGAGAGAGGTCACGACAGAGGCCATCAAGACGAGCTGGTCGTCTGGCGGGCGACCAGGGGGCGCTGCACAGCGGCTTGTGCCTGTCTTTCAATTGCGCTCTGATACAATTGGCTCTGCATGACACACCGCACAGAAATGAGGTGTTGTGGAACAACTGTTGTGGAAGGGATGAGAGATGGATAGATGGATAGGTGCGCTGACCCAGACATTGGGTGCTCACCGTGTCTGTATGCGGCCATCGTCAGGCTGTCCACGGCCTTCGCTTCTTCCTTGGATCGCCATTGCGAGCTTTGAGAAGGGGGATTGGTTGGTTGGTTAAGGGTTTGACGAGACACCTGTCCCTAAGCCCGGCGCTACCTTCCGGCGCAACCAGGCATCTTCTCTGTCCACAGCACACACCAAACAGGCAACAGGCACATGCAGAATGCATGCACAAGGCCTATCTGCCCTTCCCATGGAGCAGTGGGTGCTAGTCTGACAAGTCAGCGTCAAGCACCCACTGCTCCATCTCATGCAACTCATATATAAAGTCATACTCACCATCAAACTGACTGGGTGGGAGAGATGGATTGAGTGCAAGCCAGCGAGCCCGCTCCTTGTGTGCAGCTAGGAGGAAGTCTGGTTG